TCTCGGTTTGTCCCACAATAATCAAGAGAGGCTCCCCGCACAGTAAGCACCCAACAGGTGGGAGTACGGCCTCCAACAGCAGTGGATACGACCTTCAGCCACACTAGAACTCTATATTGGCAGCTATACTTTTGGTTTAAATTGCAGTGAATAAACTAGCTAGAGAGCTAAAGTGAATTACACATCATCCAATGTTAGAGAGGATTGACCTTTAGACAGAACGGTTGTAATTATTTTCTTTCACTTCAATTTGAGTAAAACATTGAAGATATAATATTGTATTGTTTTCTTTTTACACTGACTCAGATATAATGAAAAGACTAGGTCAGTCGAAGCTCAGCTTTGGTAAGGAAGAGACAGGACAGGCAGAGAGAGAGAGAAAGTGATGGAAGTCAGGGAGGAACTGCAGGTACAGTCACACAAAATAATGTAGGCTTAATAACCCCATCTATTTATATATATATATCTATATATATAACAATAGTCTTAATTTACAATAGGCATAATTGTAAAACAACATATATCTATTGCAGTTATGATTTCATAATAACATACAATTGTATAAAACACAATTTGCTTACATCTTTGTTCTCTTTTGAGAATCAAACAAAACAGATTTAAATAAAAAAAAGAATGCAAACAAGTGAAATGAACTAAATGGCTTAATTGCTTTTAATTCACTGGCAGGAGCGACAAGTGAGGCGAGCAAAAAGTGAACAACGAGGGAGAGATTGAACAAAGAGAAATAGTAGAGGACAGAGAGAGTAATGAACAGGAAGAAGACAGAGAGACTCAAGAAGATGGAAGAGAGGCTGCAGGTTATGGAAAGGAGAGAGACATGGAAAATGAATGTTGACAATGTGTTGTGATCATTTTAGCCTCTTCTGCATGTCCAGATCATTAATAGTAACAATCAACTGATTCTTATGCATTACACTTTCAACAATAATTGATGCCGCAGCCCACTGACACGGTTCGAAATCAATATATTATCCAATTTGTGACCCCCCACAGGACTTAAAAAGCACCTAACTAGATCATAAAATCCCCAAAATCTCGGGGGATATCCCCCAAACCCCCCTAACATATTTGGACCTTGGTATTTAGGAAATCCTGGATACGGCCCTGCCTGTACCTGTTCGCTCTGCCATCGCATGAAGGGTCTGCTAACAAGCGACCAACAGAAAGGTTAATGTTAATGTTGTTGCACGTCACAAAAGCACGTCACTTCAACCAAAACAACGTTGACCAAAATACACTGTTTTCTGTTCGATAAGTAAGACTTAAACCAATGTATCGACATTGAAATGAGTCAGCTTTGTAAGGAGCACTTGGTGGTCAACAGTGTCAAAAGCCTTCCTGAGATCAAGGAAGACAGCACCTCAGAGTTCCCGTTAGAATATTTTTTTGCCGGTCAACATGTCCGTTAAAGTTTAAATCTTCCGGCCAACATTTGAAAAGTGCCGGTCAAAGGTCTTCTTTGTTATTTATTGAGCTTTAAAACAAATTGATATGATTCGATATTAAACAAACTAATAATAGTAGATTAACTATTCAAAAGTGTACAGTAATTTACAATAACACGGGAATAATAAACGGAGCACTACATACAGGACATCTCTTTCTCCATATTAAGTGTTAGTTAGAATTGACTATTCTTTTCTGTCACATGCTCTTTTGTCTGTCACATAAGTGGCGCAAGTTGCACAACTGATGCGGTATTGCGCTAAGGGGAAATGTATTTTGACCGGACGCTTTGACCGGAGAGATTTAGATTTGCCGGTCTTCAGCATATTTTACCGGTCGTCGTCCGGTAATTACCGGCTAACGGGGGCTCTGCCCCAGACGGTGATTAATCAAAGTAAGAGCGGAATGAGCATCGTACAAGACTCTGAAAGAATACTCATTAATCCTTGGGCTATGAGGTCAATGTTTGTAGCAGATCCCCAATAAAACAACTTACCAAGCTAAGAGACCAAACTAAAGGGGGTAAAAATACAAATTCTTACAATGAACTGCTACTAACAGACTTAGTTGACCACGCAATTAGGCTAAACATCATCAGATTGGTTCTTTACAGTTCAGTTTGACCTAAAACAGGAGCATTGAGGTGTTGATCATTTGAATTAAGGAAAAATAACGACTCCCTACCTCTGAAGTGGTCATAAAGTCCAAACATGTCTCCATGCCTGGGTTCTTTATATTCCTTAAGTCCATAAGAGTGGTTCATTTACATCCACCGACAACGTTTTTGGAATAATGTCATGTGATCTCTTTCGCTGCCTGTCAGATGCACTTTAACTGAAAATAAATATACTTTCTACACTCTGTTATTGGGTATGCTTGTGCTTATCATCTTGAGGGATGCAAAATAAAAATGTCACCACCTTTTTTCTCTTTAGTTTGGACCCCTTTTCCTATCAGGTATGAACATTTGTACTTGTTACAGTTTGAAGAGGATAAAGAAATGGGTTGCATCACTAGGTTCACTGCTTTAAATACATTGTTGATAGTATTTTGTAGCTTTGTGTAAAATGTATTGAAAAGGTCTATGACATAAAGTCGCCTGAAGCGAAAGTCTGAGCTATTCATCAGTTTGTTTTGCTAAGTAACAATAAGGCCTCTAGGTTTGATTCACCCCGAGTCAATCTGCTGCAGGTTCTTGAAGTTTGCATGAACTCACCACGTGTGACTTCTGGGAAGCCAGTTTTCTTTTCCCACCTTCTCGATACAGAACTTCTGGGGACCATTGCTTCCTGTAAAGTCAAAATAAACGTTTATTTAGTTAAATATATAGACAAGAAACTGGGACTAACACAGTGAGATCTCACCGATACCTAGCTTTACAATCTTAGTTAGAAACTTATGTAAAAAGCTAAAACTAAAGAAAGTCATGTTTTACCCATAAGGTCGGCAAAGCCTCCTACAGGCAGGCGACAGGTTCCTGTGACAAACTGCAGCAGCCTCATCCTCTTCTCGTTGTCCGCCTCCTTTATGAACTGTGGGACAAGAGGCAGGCTGGTTAAAACACTGAAAGGTCCAGGAAAACGTATACAATCACACATTAGACATACATCAATTATTCATTGTGTAAACAGAAAGGACGGGTTTCGGTATTCTTTCTTGTTTTTTACCAATAATGAATAGAGAGATTAAACATAAACCAAAAAAGGTAAACCACCTCACTGCTGATTGATTTGCTTCAATGCAATGATTTAAAAACACAATACCACAACACGTTTTTGGACTGATACAATTTCTTACAGAGGTAAGGTGCAAGATTTTTTTCTTCTTCAAAAATGTATATAAATGGTCATAAATCCCTCAAGATGACCATATTAAGAATGTAAGACCTTGCTAAAACCATGCAAAAATCCATTGACATTTGACAATACGAGATTACAGTGAGAATCGCATTTTTTGGGAGAAACCCCCATATTACCATCTTATCAATATATCTAGGAAAGCCCTCAGTCTATGGTTTGCAGTTGTAAAGTTTCATAAGGCTGTCATTATCCTAAAGGTCACAACAGGTCATTTTATTAAGTGAGGTCAGTTTACAAAAAATTGGATAAGTTGCATCATGAATAAAGGCAGCATTCCTGTCATACCAAAGATATGCAATGCCAAGAATGTGAAGTGACCCTAGTATGCACAAATATACAAATGTACCATTTTAAATTAGGTGAAAACAATGCATTTGTGCAGCATGCACATTTCTCTGTAGTTATTTTGTCTGAAAACGGCCCCTATGGATCTTTCTCCGTACATTACGTTAATAATAAAGTTTACTAGGTGAATGCTGACCTGCCAGAACCAGACGATCTGTTTGCTGCTGCGAGCGTAGTGTCTGTAGATGGTGTTTCTCTGCCAGTCTGCAAGGTCGATCTCCTGCATACCACACAGCATCACCTGCAACAGAAAACATGTTATTCAAATTAAAATATGTGTTTTATTAATCTAAATAATTACTTTGAAACCAGCTTGCATTTCTTGCAGCACTTTCAGGTAAAGAATAAGAGTGTCAGGTTGTTCTCTACCTCGAGCTCTTTAGCATCGAAGTACTGCAGGTACTGCTGAGGGAGGACCTCATTGAAGCCTTCAAAGAAAGCCTGAGTCTGCTCCTCCACCCCTCGGGACAGCCTCCACTCTGNCCCAGTCAGAAACACTGCAAAAGTGGTCTACAGTAAAACCCTCTGGACATTATATCTGTGTGACTTATGAGTGAAATGATCAGTTATCCACCTGATGTACTCCTCCTTGTTCTCCTCCGTCACCTGGAGCTCTCCTCCGTCTGGCTTCAGCTCATGGGTGGAGACTTCCCCCAGGATCTCTTTGTCCACGGAGAAGAACATCTCCAGCCCGCACTCCTCGATGTTGTTATCCCTAAAATGTTAACACACTATGATCATTCATATGATTTTGGAGATTAAACACCAGATTATGTTTAAAAATCTGTTCATTTTGTATCCAGATACAGGGATATCCATAACCTTGAAGAACTATTAATATTAAGAATTTTTAAAACCTTAAAGACTTTGTATGAAAGCTAATTCTTTAACCACACTTGGTACTTTTTTTTTTTTTTTCAATTAATCTCACTGAACATGATTTATTAATCAAATTGATTAGATTTCATTGGTCTAATATGTGTGCCATCAGCATCACTGCAGACTCTTTGATTTGATAGAAAATGGTGCATTTTGTATTGGTTTCATAGAATTAAAATAACTTGAGCTCTTCTTGAAGTTCCATCAATAATAACATACTAATATTAAAATCCCACCGGTCAATATGGAAGTTAAAACGGACTTTTCTGGGTAAAATACATGTTCTTGTTGTGAAATCAAACTTGTCATTTTTTTTTTTTGAGAGTTTTTCCTTCAACAACCCGACCGGATTGTGTGTGTTTATTGTCCATGAAGTTTAACTAACATTGAGATATCGCTGCTCTGATTAATTAAACACAAATATTCTATGAGATTGCTTAATCATTGTCATTTCAGGTGTGTTTTATGCTCTTACATTTCTACAAATAGCTGTATTATTGTATAGTCTGACTCATTTAGCAGACTTGCCTCAGACACTCTCAAAGGCTTATGATTCAACCTGGATTAACCGTGGATTGTGTGACCAATGGACCTTCTGAGCCATAGTCTGACATCACAAAATAAAATCATCCACAAACACAAAGAGTACATTCAACAAGATGCTGAAAACTAGTCAAGGGTGTCTGATACATTCAGAGTGTTAATCTAAAAAGTCGACTCAAACTCACTTGATCCACATGAGCGAGTTGTAAAACTCCGGGTCGATCGACTCCAGGTCTTTGAGGGCCAGGGGCTTGTTGAGCATGCGCTTGTAGAATGGCAGTGAGAAACCAGTGTCGATGAATTTGCCGTGGAAAAGAGCCTGACGGACAGAAACACACTTTGCTTTCTTTCTGTAATCTGAACAGTAGAAAACCCTAAAACTATAAACTAATGCATTAGCCGTTAGCTGGTTTTTATCAGACTTTGACCAAAAAATCTGTTGAAGTCCAACACGTTAAAATGTGTCATATTGTCCAGTGGAAAACCCCCCCCCCAAGCACAATTTGAAGTATATGTTCTTATTTTTTGTAAGGTTTAAAGCTGAGGTAGATAGTTAACAATTCTGGTGTTTTTTTTTGTTTTTTTTCTGGAGTCTATTGACAGGACTTTCCCCCATTTGTCCGTGACAAATCTTCCTGGACACAATGACCGGCACAAAGCATAAAGCGCGACTCACCATGGCAATGAAGCGTCCGATGAACTTGAAATACTTGAGGTGGTCAGGGTTGATGTAGGAGGCGGGGTTAATCTGGAGACAGTAGTTATCTTTGCCGGCATATTCAAACAGGCAGTACATGGGGTTCAAAACTTCATGGGACAACAGGAAGAACCACTCCCTGCAAGAGAAGAGAGCAGAGTCATAAGAAAGGGACAGACTCAAACCCGACAGGCAACACCATCATTTATCAAAATATCAAAATGATTATTGAGAGGAGGACCAAGTCAACTGCAATCAAAATAACTTTCTTAAAGCACCATAACACATTTTCTTCACTACTCAGGATTACATATTCACAACTATCTACACTGAACAAAAATATAAATGCAACACTTTTGTTTTTGCTCCCATTTTTCATGAGATGAACTCAAAGATCTAAAACATTTTCTACATACACAAAATAACCATTTCTCTCAAATATTGTTCACAAATCTGAAAACATCTGTGATAGTGAGCACTTCTCCTTTGCCGAGATAATCCATCCCACCTCACAGGTGTGGCATATCAAGATGCTGAACACCACACCAAGCAACAACACCCAAAGAGAGGTTCTGGTGCACTCTGAGAAGTGTACTTTATGTCCACTTTGAAACGTGCATTTTTTCTTTATTGGGGGGGTCTGGGGGGGTCCGAAAACCAGTCAGTATCTGTGTGAGGGTTAGGATTAGGGTTAGGGTTAGGGTAATGTTGTGAATCGAGTGGCCCATGGTGGTGGTGGGGTTATGGTATGGGCAGGCGTATGTTATGGACGACGAACACAGGCCACTCGATTCACAACATTACCCTAACCCTAACCCTAATCCTAACCCTCACACCAGATACTGACTCGTTTTTGGACCCCACCAGACACCCCCAATAAAGCAAAAATGCACGTTTCAGAGTGGCCTTTTATTGTGGCCAACCTAAGGCACACCTGTGCAATAATCATGATGTCTAATCAGCATCTTGATATGCCACACCTGTGAGGTGGGATGGATTATCTCGGCAAAGGAGAAGTGCTCACTATCACAGATTTTTTCAGATTTGTGAACAATATTTGAGAGAAATGTTTATTTTGTGTATGTAGAAAATGTTTTAGACCTTGGAGTTCATCTCATGAAAAATGGGATCAAAAACAAAAGTGTTGCGTTATATTTTTGTTCAGTGTAATTTACCTGGCAACGCCTCCGTAGTCAAGGCCTTCTTCTCCAGGGAAGATGATCCAAAGTCTCCTTCGCAGATCTTGAGCGTTGAAGCTCATAATCTAAAATAGAGACAATGAATTTAGAGATTGGTGATGTAGTGACTATTACAAAACAGTAGCCTTCAAGAGCCAAGAGCAATCTCAACAACAATTGATAGAGAGCAGATTATTGATCATAAAAATGATCCTAAGTGTAAAAGCAAAACTTCTTGTAGTAACGTAAACTTTGTGTGTCATGTTTGGGACACTTTACCTGCTGGAAGGAGTCCTCAAACAGGGTTTTCCTGGTTACGCTGATCTTGATGTGTTGAGGCATTGACAGTTGCTGGGGAAAAGGGGAAATATCAGAAGCATTCATCAAACATGATTTCTTTGTGACATGGCAACACATACTGTTACTGCACAGTGTATAAGGAACATAATAGGACTGCATTGAGCAATAGAATGTATGACAAGACTCAAAGGACCAACAATCAGAATACTTTTTTCATTATGGGGAATCAAATTGGGTTTTGTGACATGCCTAAAACAAGATAAACATAATTAAATAATTATATTTATTTAAATACAAGAAGTTAAGGCAAAATGTAAAAAAAAAGATAAAATAGGATTATTCACATTAATTAAAGAAGCTAAAAGTTCAAATGTGCAATATAAAGATCAAACTAAATACAAATCTCAACATTAACATAATAAAATTAAGGTAAAATGTCCCAAAATGTTCAAAGAATTCCAATAGAAATGTTTAAATAAACAAGACGTTATCCTAAAAATGTCCAAAATGCACTACAAAATAATAATTACAGTACATTATCATATTCTAAATAAGGCATACATTCACCAATGCTTATTTTACAGCTGGAAAAGAAAATATGGGCCCAAAGAAGAACTTCACTTTAAGTTTAAGTAAACATTGATCCTATAAGAGCGTGCACGGTTACGACTCTTACCTGGCACCAGAATCTGAAGTACTGTACTTTGGCTTTAAAGTCCCGAACGTAGGTGATCTGAGGTCCGTTTTCACTGTGAAGGCAAAGAAGACAGAAGATTCTAAGTATCCTTTTACCTTAAAGCTGAAGCGTATATATTTCTTGTCATTTCCCTCTGTTGTTCAATTGTTATCTCCTCCAAGGAGGTTTTGTTTTGGTCTAGTTTGCTCATCAGATTTTCAGCATAAAGAAAAACTTTAGACATTTGTAATGAAACTTGGTGGAAGGATGTAACGTGTGTTGAGGAAAACATTTTCCTAGGCCTCTGCCTTTCACCCAGTTTATCACTCTACTCCTATAGTCACCGTTCAGGCATGCGACCTCTGTTGCCACTTTCTCTCTTCCCTTGAGAATAGTTGTGTCTAGAACTAGATAAATACTTAGGAGTTTGTATTAGTGTCTGCCATCAAGTCGAGCTCTCCTGAGTTCCTTTTGTGTTTCGAGTCCTTGATCCAGAGCTTTCCATCACAATGTGCGGCAAGGACGAACGCAATCACACATTGAAAACGCATGGCTTTTATCTCACTTTTGTTACCATCGCGAGATTTGTCATTTGGCCTAGGTGTACGTCTGAGCTGTCATAGTGACCTTCTTGTTAAACAAATTATAATAACACACAAAACCTAAGTGTGAATATATTAAAGCTTAATTGGCCAGTGTGTTGATATCCTGTCAGTTCATATTGTCACATTGACCCAACTGTTTTTTCCACAAGTGTAACCAAAGCATTCACTCTCAAGTCCTGTTATGCTCAGGACTTATAATCATGACTCAACTGAGGGGTTACATCTGAAAGGACAACACGTCAGGATAATGCATAACAAGTGGTAAAAATAGAAGGAGGATTTCAGAGACAGTGAATCATTTAGTCAAAGATCTGTGTAAACAGTACTATCTGGTAGAATAGAGCTGCCTGGTGATGTATTTTCAATAATGTGAAAAGCATATATAGGCAAAATACTTTGGGTTGGAAAAAAAAGCATTAGGTACATATTTTGTCTTCTTTTTAACTCATTCATTTATGGTATGCAGATGAGCTGGAAAGACCAAAGCCAGAATGTTACCGGCAAAATGTATCCAAGAAGGCCCTACTAGTATAAATGATTTATAACGCATTACAAACTAACGCGTTACTGTAACGCAACTACCTTTTGCGGTAACTAATAACGTTACTAGTTACCTATTCCCATTCAGTAACGCCGTTATAGTTACTGTGATTTAAATGGGTGCGTTACTGCGTTACATTATGTGATGGAACTGAACCGAATCTCCCTTCGGATGTAACTTACAGGCGAATACAGTGATGTCCTCTCACAGTACCATGGAAAAGTGACCAGAAAGGAGTGATGATTGGTTAACGCGGGGTGACATTTCAGGGTAAGCCAATCAGAGACAGAGTTGGGCGAGTCTTGCCTTATGGGGAAAATACACAGACACACAAACACTTGCTAACACACACATACACGGCAACGCCCACCACCAGCACACACACACACAATGGCAGATGCAAATATCAGCGAGAACAGCAGCGCATTTACAACTTGGAGATTACTTATAAGGCTGAAAGCACCTCTTCTTAAGTTTATCCACCATTATTGATTTTGTTTATGCTAAATGGCCAGTTGTGAGGTAAATTATTTCACTGTTAGTTTGTTTTTGTGAGGCTGAAAATAGTTTGTTTGTCTTCAGTGTCAGTCTGACAGTTTATTATTTATTTAATTGTTACTGCCAAAAGAGTGTAGTTGTTTTTATTTCATATTGCACTACAAGTACACTACTTAGAACTTGATTGTTGAGGCTAAAATAAAGATGCCTGTCAAAATGCCTAAACATATCTTTTGTTTTATTGTTCCACTACATTTCACAATGATAATTGCTACAATGATGGGGAGTTGTCTTTTCTCTTACTGTGCCACAGAACAACACAACAACTTGTATTTTTATTGTTATTATTTTTAAAGTAAAGTAAACTAACTTGTTACTTTTATAATTTAGTAACTAATTAGTTACTTTTTTGAGAGTAGAAACTATAACTATTACTAGTTACTTTTTAAAAGTAACTTGCCCAACACTGCTAGCCACAGATCTTATTTTCTGTAATATTCCAAAATCTCATTGTTGCAGAAGACGCTTACTTCCAAGCTGGACAACAAAAATGTGCCATCACTGCACAACTGTTTGGTTAATGTTTAAGTCTGAATATTTTAAAGGTAGGAGAAACAACATGGCAGAGGACTTACAGTGAGGACTTTCCAGTGCGAGGGTCGATGTACGTGGTCGCTCTCCTGTTGTGGTCCACGAAGTAGGGAATACCGTCTACAGTGAACCTCATCTCCCAGCCCTCAGGGAGAGGCTTGTCATTCAGCAAACTGAAAAAACAAAACAAGATCAATCTTTAGTGATGGACCCTTTCAGAAAAAACTAAAATAATGCATGCAATGTGCTACATGCACTATATTATCATTTTCATCTAACATGGTTTTCAAATATGAATACTAACCCCTGTGTTCGTGGGTCCTCCCACTGTGTTGCTCGCGTAGGGTGATGTACAAAATAAACTCTGCCAGTGGAGTCTGTTCTCTTCTCTGAAAGGACACATTAACAAAAAGAAAAACATTGGAAGAATTAGTTACTATTATTATCAATGTGTATACCATCAAATCACTGACGGCAATTTAGGGTTCCTTCTCAATTTTAAAACAATCTTTAAATTCAAAATATGTAATGTTGTGCCACTAAGAGTTTCAATAAAATAGTTTTAGATTAGAAATCTGTGTTTCGTCGATGCAGTTGCAACTTATGTTGTCAGGTAGTGTCTCTGATAATGTAGGATCCAGACGTTCAAATTAACATGGTGAGTAAAACTTGTAAAAACACTTAATACGTTTCATGTTCAAAATCATTCTTGATTCCAATATGATCTCTGGTCTCTTTTGGGCTAACTTAAAATCAAAACGTCCAATGATTCAAATCCATCACAGTTACATATGATGTACTTTTATTAATCACCATGGGGAAATTGTTTCTCTGCATTTGACCCATCCTAGTGTTAGGAGCAGTGTGCTGCCATTTGGAACGGCGCCCGGGGAGCAGTGTAGGGAACGGTGCCTTGCTCAGGGACACCTTGGTAGCCTGGTCTTGCCGGGACTTGAACTGGTGACCTTCCAGTTGCCAAGCCAAGTCCCTATGGACTTCGCCACCACCGCCCACCATACGATATATAGTTAAAAACAACCACTATCAAAACATTGTAGCGTAAAAATGTGGCTGAAAACGTAATAAAAAGTCTAATTATTACAGCTTCTGGCAGACTACAAAACTGAAGCATGAGCAAAGGAGAGATTCCTCTTGGTTTGAAAGATATCTGGTGTAATTTCAATACACAACTCAACAAAATATACATGATTCCAATTGTTTTAAGACGTTTTTGGCAAAAGCGTTATAAATTATACATTTAAAAGTCCTTCAACTAAATAATTTGCGAGACGTTTAAGTATGGAGGGATTTTTTGTTTCACCTTGTCTGTATTTAACCATAACCTATGTTCTATAGCCACCACTCAAAATCATCACTGCTCTGAATGGTATTTCATTTAATATTTAATGGTTTAATTGGTATATCATCATTTGAAGTGAGATGTGACTACTCTTCTGGTACAACAAGATACACCCTCCTGCGTTGTGTTGTTATAAATATTGTATCAAGTGAACGTGTCTGCAATAACAAAGGATAAGGCCCCCATCCAACAGGTGCCAGAAGAGGATAATTACATATTGAAATAAATCAGAGTGGACTTCAGATTTAGCAGATGTCTTATTGTTTTTTGCTTGGTGAGTGTTAGGATGCATTATGGGAAGCTTCTTTTCTTAAACAACAAGCTGTAAAATAATAAAAAATGTAAGTTCTTTTGAAACACATTAGTACATTTTGATAGATGAGAGGCTCAGCTAGATGGTGCTAGCTAACTGAATGGTGCATATTGACTGTCCTAAGCCGGTGTATTTAAATTGAAAAAGCTTTAAAAGATCTTACCCCATCCGTGTGGCAAAGGCCCGAGAGGATCAAACTCCTTATTTTGAGTGGCTGAGACCTGCTCTTGTAGCTGCACAGCAGAGAGAAAGAATATTTTGTATACATCTCAAAGCATCTTAAAAGACATCTACAATATTTTGCGTTTTGATGCGGAAAATAAAGTGACTTCACATAAAGAAAAATAACATAAAGGGTTAAATATCAGTACAAATTTTAAAGCCAGTTGGTTGTTTAACAAGCGGTAGTGTTTGACATTAACCTCACGTCACAAACATAAACCTAACATCAGCATTAGCCGAATTTCCAGTAAAAACATCTCAATTTTGCAAACATCTGGAGGTGACAACAAGTATGCTGCTCAAAGAAGAAGAAGAATAAGGAGAAGTAGAAGGACATATGTGCATAAAGACATGTACAAATGAGTTATTATTGGAGGTTGCTAGATGCTGCAGTGTTCAGGCGCTTTGTAACTGGTCAGATTGGGAGTTGAACCGTCAACCCTACAGTTCCAAAGCCAAGATTCTACAGGCTGAGCCGGCTCTAATCTAGCTAATAAAAACCTATATTACCACATTGTATCACAAGACAAAGAGGAAGTCCTCACCCCGAATATGAACCTCTGGTTGAACTGCTGCATGGCCCCCTGCAGCTGGCTGCGCTGGTGCTGCCACTGCTCATAGTTACGCACGGTCTCCATGGTGGGCCGCTGCCACGTGGTGGTCCGGGTCATGTGATCGACAAAGTAGACCCGCCCCATCTGGTCGACACGACGCTCCCAGCTGAGGACGGATACATCGAGGGAACACAGCAGGAGAAAAGTGAGCATGGGTAAAAAACAGAAGACTCTCAAAGTCATTCTGCCCTATTGAAACCATTTCACCCATTGAAGAAGAAGAGAAAAAGAGCAAACGTGTTAAGAAAGACAATATGGTGGTATTGCAGACACCCTACCAGTATAATGGGGTGTATGGAAAAAGCGTGGATAAATAAATGAGTCAAGGCTTCAGATTAAAGTAAATAATCAATGTGGTACATGAACATGGCACAGGACGCAGGTAGCCACATGCTGCTCTCAGCAAATTACACTTAAGACAGCCCAGATAGAGATCAGAGTCAATATAGTCTTACACTGCACTAATATGTAGGATTTGATGACTTATCAGGACAAACAGCATTGACAAACTGCTTGTGAAATAAAAAACTGTATGGCAGTTAAAGTTACCCTGTAGCGATTTCTGACAAAGTCCCTAAACTCTGAAAATACTTAAATTATTATATATTATTATTATATATACATTTATTCCATCTCTTCTGTCTTCCTCAAACAATCGGTCCTGATGAAATGCTTTCTGTCTGCCAGCATCAATTAAGTCTGAATTGTGATGATGAGATGTGGCAAAAAAAAAACATTGTTCGATGATTTCTGTGAGAAATCGTCCAAGCTGTAATGAATTGCGCTATATGTAATAATCGAAGGGTCCCTCACTCAAAACAATAACGAAAGATGGAGTTTGGTGGCGTTTTGATGTAGCAAGAGATAATGAAAAGTCAGCTTCTCCAGGTTTTTAAATTGCAGCTGAATTATTCGCACGCCCCCTCCTCTCCAAATCAAACAAATTAAAAACGGGTTAAATACTTCAAGCAATTGCACATTAATAATTGCCATTTTTTAGCTCTGCTTTTTTCTCTGATCATTTATGATCCAGGTGTGCGATAGCTAAAATTCATCATCCTGAATGAACGCCCAAGATCTCAAAAGTGTTGAATAAAAGTGAGGCTTAAAACGAGTATTTCTTACAAATGTTGGAAACATTTGGGATGAAGATCTTAAAACTAGGCATGAGCCAATGTTACGATTGAGAGACCCCTTCATTTAAAAGTTACCTTCCTATGAAAATAATCCAATAAACCTCAGCCAAAAGAACAATCTGTCATTAAAAGAAAATGTAAAGGGAAGGACTTTTTACCCAGGGGGCAGTGGTTCAGGGCGTTCCCACGCCGTTCTCTTTTCCACGTGATCGACAAAATACACCCTGCCGTTCTGATCCACCCTCTGCTCCCACCTAGATTAAACATGGCAATAAGATGGAGGATATTAGGTGATGGTGCACAACCGCGGCCGTTAAGGTGATGGATGGATGTAAACAAATTCACAACATGAGTCAACCTAATACAAAAGCAGCAGCTAGCCGGTGAAGGTTATGATGTTGTCACAATGACGTACTAAAAGAGCTCTAAAGAGAATTTGCGGAATTACAGGCTGAATGAAACCCAATAGAGACAACAAGAAAAAGATCTTAAACAAACAAACAGGTATTCCGACAATCCTCACACTCCGAGATTCTCTTTATCCACACAGGAAATATGAAATGCTCAATAAACTGTGCCTCAGTGCTGGTTTTTTTTGTTGAGGTGGTGAAAAAGTTGAGTTGAATAACTTTTTGTCTCAAAGCTGACCCAATTTGCAAAACACCCCCCTGAGTGATTCATCAACTTTTTTTCTCATTTTGAACTTTGTATTACTTAAGTTTGTGTTTTTGTATACATTTATGTATAAAGTTGTCTAGCACTATAATACTACTATTGCACAATAAACTTGCATTCATTGATATTGTTTTAACTTGACTTTGACCCAAACCTTCCCAAGTTCTTCTGCAAAGATTATTAAAGATGGCTCACCCTGGGGGCAGGGGCCCGGTGCTGACAGCGGGGACACTTGGAGTGACAGCAGGGGTGACGCTGCTGGCCGGCTGTCTGGGGGCCGCAGCCCCGGAGCTGGGGGCCGCTGTAGAGTTTCTCTCCGAGCCCACCGATGGACTCGATCCAGGGGCCGGTGAGGGTCCTGGGGCAGGTGAGGGTCCTGGGGTAGGTGAGGGTCCTGGGGGCGGTGAAGGTCCTGAAGCCGGGGTTCGAACCGGTGTGTCAGAACCCGACTGACCGTCACTGCCGTCAGCTGTTGCAGAGCCATTACTAGAAGATGCTGAGGAAAGATTCAGACATTGCAGAGAGTTAAATCATAAGACTATGATGGCTGATAGAGTGGTGTAGTGATGACGTATATATGTTTGCAGACCCGGAAGTTAGCTTTTCAAGTTCTCCCTCAACAAAAGCCATTGGGATCTTTCCATTGGATTTAATAGGAAAATAAGACCTGTGGCGAACACATGTGTATTATACTTACACGTTCTGTTCAGCAGGATAATCTCCACATATTACCATTAATGTAATGTCTTATACCAGGGGTCTGCAACCTTTTTGACCAAAAGAGCAATTTTGCTCCCTTTTCGAAAAACATTTTTTGTCTGGAGCTGCAAAACATATTTCATAGCTCGATAGCTTTTAAAGTTGTATTTATTGTTATTTCAGATAAAAACTACAGTTTTTTTGCATTTATTATTTATTACATTATATAAAACTGTTAACCTCTAATAAGAAACAAAGAACTCCTATAAGGAGAATGAAAAATAATACACAGGCCTACTTTAAAATAAATTAAACACAGCACTTGGGGACTCCTCTACACATTTGAAGGAAAGAACATATACAGGGCTCGACATTAAGGGCTGCCCGATGGCCCGGGGCCATCTAGTATTTAGCTCGGGCAATGAAGCCTCACCTGCTGGTTGCCCGATCGGGCAATCTATTATGCCAGTATCATGCAGCTCGCGGATCCAGTAATGAGTGACCCGACAGTCAAACTAAACATATCTATAACTAGTTACGGTAGTTTGAGAGGTAATTAAAATAGCTACGTGTGATATTCTAACCTGAGGTGTGTGTTTTGTCCGCTCACCGCTGCATGTGATCATGCAGAACTGCGTGTCGAATGAATAATAGTGTGTGTACATACTATATCGACGTGGCGCACCACTAACCAACTCTAGGCCCCCACAATGCCCGAAAACCTATATACGTATGTCTTTATGACCACAATTCGACAACGGTTCTCTTGTGAGAGGGTAGACTACTTCCGTTTAGACGGAAGTAGTCTACATTTTTTGTCATCTTTGTAAATGTAGTTCGACATTGACCCAGGTTTTGTTCTTGTAATACAATGCTTGGGTGATAATACGGGGACAATTTTTACAAACATTACAATAGATCGCCACTTCGAACAGCTCTGCTCTATGGCAGCGAGGTACGGCTTCGACTCGGCTGCGTCTGGCTCGTTCGTAGCTCTCCCTCGGCTCGCGTATGGGCGCTTTCGTATGTTTTTGCCGCTGCAGCTCTCAAGGCCAATACCGATCTTTTCCGCTAGGCAGACCACATTTATACTGCAGTCGCGACCCCGCGGGGGGCGGGGCCGGGCCGATCCGCGCCCTCACTGCAGTGCTAAGACGGCAACTTGAGAGCCAACATTGCGCTCGCCGAGGGCCTTTGTGTAGTCGTCGTCAATTGTACTCGTTGTATGTTTAATTACCGTCGAGTCGTATAAGTCTATCTCTTTGTAGTCTGAAGATTAGTCTTTTGTGGACGTCCGCTTGTAGGACATAGAGCGTGCGTCCTCGCGTAGCACCGCTGGAAAGATGAGCGCTGTTCGGTGCAACTGCACGGACACTGTATTTTTTATCTTGGTCACTCCACAAGTACCACTAGATAGTCACAACAGTAAGACGAAACTTGTGGTGTTCCTGGCGATTGTGGGGATAAGTTGTTAGTGTGAGGGGACAGTAAGACTGTATTAAGTTATCTATCAAATACGAAGTAGTGGTAGTAAGACGACCACCGTTGACTCACAATTGGCTTAGCATTTGCTTATCCGACGGACGGGCTTTGCTCTTGTAAGTCGGTCGCACTGTAAGTCGGGTTTGAGAGCGTTCTCAAATGTGTTCTGGCCCTAGAAGATCGGTATTGGCTCAACGGGCGAACGGCCGTTTTTAGTTTAGAGAAGCCAGTGTTATTAAGGAATCGTGTTTATGGGCAGAGGAGTGCAACGCGGTGGAATACACTGTCTGTTACTTCTCTACACTGTCTGTTTTCTTATCAAGGTAAGATTTATCAGATTGTTGAATTACACTCTTTCTCTACGCGACATACCCAACTACACGCAACTAGACAACCATAACGGAGCCCAAGGGGCGCACGCCCGTAGGCATTTGTTTACGTATTACGACGCCGATATGAAACACCGGATGGCCACGTATCGCTGCCGGAATAACAAATCGCACAGAAAATTATTCATCGCCATCAGCGGTAAGGTAATCGATCTTCGATTCGATCTAGACTAGTTTATACCTGTATTTGCGCTCACTATCAGTAGACTGCCCTTCTCTCTCTAGTCGACGACGACTNCCTTCGTTGCATTTCGTCCGCACGCATTTTTCAGGGCAATCTCTATTGGGCTCAGGGCCAACTGTAAATTAGCTTAGATGGCCCACAGGGCCATCTCCCAAAATCCTTAATGTCATGCACTGATATAATTAAAATGGGCCCACTTTGAAATAAATAAAACATATAGCTGCACCCTAAAAAGAGTTAAAGGTAGGTTAGGTAAGAATGGAGAAACCAGCTCGAGTGCGCTAGAATTTGAAAATACACAACCGTCCTTCAGACTTCCTTTCAGAGCCCCTCCTCCAACACACACGAACGCGCACATGACCAATGAGGGCACGAGATAAGTTTGTGCACAGATGGAAGGCTGACAGGCAGGTAAGCCGTCCAGTTATTTTAGCCGGGCCGGCTAAAATGATTGGTCGTGCTTTTTACAGTACTACGGCTTCCAGAGATTAATTTTTGTATGTATTGTCAAAGCATTTAATATATTCATTGCTATCGGGACGTTAAGAGCATTCCATGGAATATAACAAAAAGTGTTTTCTGAAATAAATTGCATACCCCATTGAATTATGACTGAAGATCGTCAACTGTCTTCCTCTTCCGTTTTTCTCCTCGATACATAAAGGCTGCATCACCTTTGACAACTTCTCTCTACATACCGGTAAACCAGCATCGTTTGCTGTGAAAGCATATAACTCTGTTCACGCAGAATTAAATCCTGTGTTCCTCCGGTACTTTTCTTTTATTTGATTTATCCATAGTTTGCTCATCGAGCCGGGGGTCAGGTTACTCGCCTGCAAGAAAAGGCGCTGGTGCGGGACCGTAGCAGGATGTGACGCATTTAGTTGACCTAATTAAAACCGTTTTGTTTTTTATTTATGTTTCACAGTATCACCTCAAAATACGAAACATTTTCAACCATGCAACAAAATAATAATAATCCTAGAAATACTTTTATTTTGTTTCCTTCTTATTTTTGTCTAAGCTCAAGGGAGCCAGAGCAGAGGGTTTAAAGGGCCGCATGCGGCTTGAGAGCCGCGGGTTGCCGACCCCTGTCTTACATCATAAATAACACTTTTATAATTATTAAGGTGTAAATGCAATCGGGAGAAGTAAAAAGCTAATTTACTAAGTCATTGAATGTCATTGACTCTTTTTAAGGCAGCTAACCAGGAACGCATTAAAAAAAACATTGTTTTTGAGATAATAAAACCCGGAAGAGCTTAAATGCTAACTCCTTTCCGGGTTTAAGACTTACTTATGTACCATTATTTTCAGATAAACCGGAATGATAGAACAAAAACATAAATGTTCAGCAAAGCGGGCAGAGGATCTATTGTTCCCTTCACAGACACATTGCCACCATATTGTTTGTGCTATTCCTTAGTGTTGCCTCGTGTGACTCAGCTACATCAAATTATTCCTCATGTTTGTGAGTGTTGGCCCAACTCCAATTTAGCTAGCGGGTAAATGTTTGACATCAATTATTATGTGACACACTACACAGTCAGGAAGAAGAGCACTCGACCTTTGCTTTCCTCCCATTCTCAGTTGAAAAGTGTCTAGTTCCCCAATAAATGTCTGACCTGGTGAAGAGGCGGGTCTGCGCGGGGTTGGAGGAGGAGGTCTGGAGGGCCGGGGGGGTCGTAGAGGCCTCGAGCCCCCTGAGGACACAGAGGGAGACCCCGCGCTGTGCACCGACCTCCGTCCGCTGGGAGAAGACCTGTGCTCGACACCGTCCACGCTCACAGCAGGGGAGCTGTCTCGACTCCGCCTGGGAGCAGGAAGAGCACACGGAGATTAATACAAATATCAGAAACTAAATGGTGACACGTTAAGATCAACTGACGACAGCACCTTGTGACATGATCCCCATTGGGTTGGGAATCCCCGTTTGATGTACCTGGAGTAAAAACACACAACATTCACATTTTAGTCATAAAGCCCATTATTACACAATTTGCCCAAAGGGTCTTTAAGCAGAAGTTCATGATAATAAAACAAAAATTTGTTTAGCTTGTATATATATATATATATTTTTTTTTTTATCATTTCTGGCTTTGCTATGCATATGGCATAGATTTTGGCAAGCATGTAGAAATAATAAAAACACTCCCATCCTCAGGGAATAAAATGTCCCTTTTAGAACCCATGGATTCTATTCCTTCTAACCACAACTAAGACATTATTTGGCATTTCTAAAAGACATTATTTGGCATTTCTAAAAAACATTTAGAAATGGGCTCATTTCTTACTTTCCTGACATTTTTGACTAAATGCGTGGATTTTAATTACTTTTTCTCACAACAAATAAAGCTACATTTGAGAATATTCTAACAGGCTTTGGGTCTGTGACTCACTGTGATGGTCGGCCTCTGCCGTGGCGAACATCTCGGGGTCGACAGTCATTCCGTCCAGGCAGACGGAGAGGTCTCCCACCACATCGGACTGGTCTCTGTCTGTACACAGCTGTAAGGTCTGCACCACCTCAGAAACTACACAGAGACCACACAAACACAAGATGGTCCGAGTGAGACGATGGCAAGTGAAATATTACGCCTGCTATAATGATGCAAGCATAACTTGAGAAAAGGTGCATTCTCGGACAGTAGGTAATGCCGTGTACAAATAGATTGTTAACATTAGGAATTAATGTGTAGGGTAAATTACCCATGGGTTGACATTCTAGCAACTTGGGGACCACAACAAATACCAACTGTATTATATATGTTATTCTCATCAGTTGGGAGCAATTCAATTTTAAATTATAATAAATTAGAAAAATCATGGTCAGCGACGCGATTTTAGTCCTTACTAAATGTTTGTACTACATTGTGATACCAAAAACGTCAAATGACAAATTATTTATGATAACAGTTATGTGAATAAGTGAATAAGAACCCAGAGCCCCATCTTAAACACACCTGGACAGGGTCTAAGAATAAAACATAACCTAATATCTACCATTGCAAAAGGGATGACAAAAATCAGCTGCCTAGTATTAAAGGAATGTTAAGTTTTGCTCTAAAAAAGTCAGATAAACCAAGTGTCGGCATTAAAACACTTTCTGTATTTAAGGGTTCACTCGTTACAAAAGGAGCCTCAGCAGCCTCAAATGTTTTAATTCAAATTGAAATGTACTTTCTACATGTTGTCATCTACCACATCAGATAGATCCCAGACAGGCCTTTGCCAAGACCTCTCGTGTTGATTCTTAGTTTGTGAAATAAAGGAAAGAGGAAGCGGGTAGCTGGTTGTAGCCTCATTCTCAGAAAAACAAAGGAAACACCCCTACACTCTGAGATAAACCAGAACACGCACTGTTTAGCATAGAAGTTGTTGAATGAATACCTATGGGATGTTTTGATCAATGTGTGTCTGATTACACATTTCTAAAGATAACACAACATTAGGGATGTCATGGGAACCGATAGGTGCAAAAGGGTAAATTATAACACTTCCATGATCTGTTAACTGTAGCCTTATGAAATTAAATTTAGCTGAGAAACCAGAATAAATACACCTGTTGTAAAGACATGATTCCCACTCACTTTTCATTTCGTTAGACTTGAGCGTGTCACTGACGTTCAGTGTGGCCATGCCCAGCAACACGTCGGACTTCAGAGTCTGGTGGCTCCACACACGGAACACCAGTTTGCTGAACGGAGTCACAATCCTGTAGGAATAAACGGTTCACTTTATTTGAGCAATGCATCGATACTAACGGAGGACAGATGTCCACTTCTAAAAGGGGTAAATTAATCATCTTTTTTCTCAAAGCAATGATACACCTGTGAGTTGGATGTAGAAAAGTCAGAATCAATATAGAACTTTTTTATTTTAAAGTCTATTCAGATTGAACATAGTAAAAAAATGTAAATTATAGTGTCCGTCCAAAAGAAAAAACATTACTTATAGTGAAAACCACCCTTGAATGATGGGATTGGAGACTAAAATATTTAGGAATCCAAACTATAACATAATAAGTACCCTGTATTAAGATTGATGCAAAACAAGTGACATTTGACCTTTTTAGAGAGGTTTAGAAAGAAAAAACGCTTCTGAGGTCACATGGGTGGATTTGCCATATCTCTGGAACCCATTGGTCGATGTTGGTGATTGACACCACTTTTTAACCGTTAGAGCCAATAGAATCAAGGGGAAGTTCCTAAAATCCATCTAAACATTACCATTGGTGAATGAGCGCAGCATGCCCAAAACCGGAAGCTGGGTTGTAGCTCTCATACACTATATGAAATCTCAGTTTTTGACAAAAATGTTATGATGGATTATCAGTAATCATTTCAATGTGACACAGAGACATTGGATTGACCTTCAGCAGAGTTTTTATCGATTTAATGCCATTGAACACAACTTTTGATCAGAAAACAGCAAAGGTAAGACGTATTTGCCGTTTTGGTCCCATAAAGCTAAGTTGTGTGTTGTCTGGTTTCGCCTGCGCTGCCCTGAGTTTTGGTCGTGGAGTGATGATACTTATACCATTGGAATCGGTGGAATCTCAGCTTTCATTTGTGCAGAAACGATGAAGTATACAATATTTCGACCGTGAGTTCTGTGCTAAGTGCGTTGGCATTTTTTCGCTTAACTCAGAGGCTTGGTATTACCCTTGCGTTTCATTTAGCTAAAAATGGTTAATATTGTCTGATAGCTGAGTTTCTTCCCGTTAAGTGGGTATGACACATTAATAGTTTGTTAAATGTTAAGAAGCCCTCAGACGCTGTTTCTTGCAGGTTAACAACAGCTTACAAAATTAGATTAATCTCACAGCTTTCACCACCATCCCATTTTAGAGGCATTTACTTTAAAGGGGCCCTATTATGCTTTTAGGGTTTTCCCTTTCCTGTAGTGTGTTGTATAGATTTGGTGTAGTAAATAGTCTGCAGAGGCTAAAATCCCACAGTTCCGTCCAGAGGGAGTTTCTCTCCCACACACTCCCTCCTCTGCCTGAAACACATTGATTGAACTTTTTTTTACTTCTGTAACAAAATAAAATCACTATGTAACAGCATGATGCTAAGGGGCAGGACATCTCAGGCGGTAACCCAATCAAAACAGAGCCGGCCAGCTAACCAATCAGAGCAGACTGGGCTCTGGTTTCAGACAGAGGGTGAGAAGAGGTGCTACAGCACAGGCAGTATGAGAAAAATAAAGACCGTTTTGAACATTAAAGCATGCAAACGTGTCACTGTAGAGGCACAAAATAAAAATATTCACCTGAAATAAGCATAAAAGGGCCCCTTTAATGTAAATAACTTATTTCTTTCCTCATAACTTAGCCAGACTTCCCACTATATTCTAAAGGTAATAGCAGAGGAGTTAGTTAATGTATCATTTATAGCCTGGTCGGGTCAGGTCTGATTACATCCCATAGTAAACACTTGTTACACAATAAGTAGGCCACCTTGGAGCACTCTATATTGGGAAGGTCAGAAGATCCTTGAAAGGCTAAAATTAAGAGGACATGATGTGTGAATATGTAGGACTGTATACATACACACACTCACCACTGTGAGGCATTTTACATTTAAGTGCAAACCACTTGCAGATAGCATATCTATCTTTTAAACTGTACACACTATTATCCTGAACTCGACATTTTAACTACAGAGAAAAAAATCCTTCCTGAATTCCTGGTGACTCACTGGAAAAGAAAACTGCTGCAGGCCCAGCATCTCGATCGAAATCATATGTTACACCGGCAATTTCATACAATAATAAGGGAGTCTGCGTTTGTATGCTTTGGAGAAACTCTTCAAGGTCTGGGCAGATTTTCTGAGGAAGTGATGATGAGCAAGGCCAAAATACTTCAGTCAGCAGTCATTTATCAAGCTATAGTTCTTCAGAAATGCTAAACGGGAAACAATGGTTTCGCAATCCCTTCTTTTAAACAATCCCTTCCTTTAAACTCTGATGAAAATGTGCAAGTCTTGTGAACAGACACCACTGTTTATGACACAAACAACATCAACAGACTTTTAGATTCGCTTTGAATTCTACCTCACCTTTCCTCTGTTTCAATTAAGATTCTAAACTTTATTAGGCAAAAATACTCTTTCTATATATTCTCCAACTACTTCTGTTTCAGCGGGGTGTGGGAGAGAAACTCCCTCTGGAAGGAACTATATGATTTTAGCCTTTGCAGACCCTTAACATGCACACAAACCAATATAACAAACTCCAGGAAAGGGAAAACCCCAAAAAGAGGGATAGGGTCTCTTTAACTTCAATGTGTGCACACACAAATATATGCTGGAGTAAAACCTTTTGTAAAAAACTGATTTAGGGTTTTTAGCTATCGGGAGCACCCAGACTGGTAACATTTAACATGTTAGAGTGAAGAATAATAATAATAATAATAATAATAATAATAATAATAATAATAGTAAGATGTCTATCAAAGCTGAGGAAATTGCCCTGCAAGATGTTTTCTGTGAACAATCTAACTAGTTTCTGCGAACATTATAATTCCCTATCCCAAACCAAGCATGCAGTCAGCAGAGCAGAGCGAGCATTTGCATTTTAAAATACAGTTTGACACGAGTCTGGTCTTATACGAGTTAGCAACAGAATACCAAAGTTCATATTATCATGAGTGCTGGTGCTTGGACTCACACAGTGAGCGGCTGCTTCCATTTGGGGCTGTGGGTGTTGTTGCATTTCTCAGTTTTCTTGGACTGGCCGTCGACTGTCACTTCCACATAAGGACTGGGGCCGAACCAGTTTTTCTTGTTCTCTTTTAGCTTTGCAGATAGCACTGAAAAAGGCAGAAGGAAGAGTGCAGCGGGAAGTTAGTCGTGGTGGTGAAAAAAAAGAAAAAATTATTCAGGAACAGCACACATTTTAATACTGAAAAAGCAGAACAAGGGAAAATAAAATCTGGATTTTACCAGTGAACAGTATACTTAGCTGGTGAGGCAGGAGCTTAGGCAATGTAGTAACGAACAAACCACAGACCATTTTGCGTTAATCACAAAAATAATCTTTGATTAATCAGAAGATCAAAATACCAGTATTTACCTGTATTTGGGGTGAGATCAAAATAATACACGGGGTGTGGGTTTTTTTGTGACACAAAATATCAACAAAGCCGCTGTCACAGAGAGCCACTGTGATTCCCCTCTGTATATTGTGCACTACACACATGCTCATACGGTAGTATTGTTGCTGCCACTTTCTGTTTCTTTCTAAAATAATGACTGTGACCGCAATTTCCCAATCCTTTGCAATTTCAAGATAAGGGCAAACGCATGATTTGGCAAAATGTCTCTCGTCCGTTTTCACCACACCCAAAGCAAACGAGTGCCGTTACACCCTGGTTCTCAATGATGTCCAGTGTTCTCCAGTCAGTGCAATACATGTAGCTTTTGCTAAATCTTTGCATTTTCACTGCCATGCAATACATGGTAAAAATCCTCGCTGGAATTATGGGAGGAAGTCAGCGTCAAACCTAATGTGATAAATGTGCGTACATTTTCTTTTGGACACATTGAGGTCTTCAGATAAATTGCAACCGTAAATGTGGAAACGATAACACGTTCATGTTGACAGTGCTAATTTAAAAGAAATAGAGCTAAGAAGACAGTCCTTGTGTTAGTTCTCACAACAGGCCTTTATCAAAGCAGACATGTTGACATTTCAGGACAAGCACAAGTGTTACTAAAGATGGCTCCGTCACATTAAGGCCCTGACACACCAAGCCAATTATAGAATGTTGATCAAGTTGGAGGATTCGATGATGGCAATGTTTTTGCAGTGTGTCCATTACATTACATTTTATTTTAGCTGACACTTTTATTTAGTGTAACTCACAAAGACTTCTTCAAAGATCACACTGTTAGACACGCCTACGGGAACAATTTGGGATTGTGTATCTTGCTTTAGGACACATATGTGTTGAGTGCATGGGAGGGGGGGTCAAACCACCATTGCTCTAATTGGTGGTCAAACATTTACTCTAAGCTATAGCAGGCTGACACGGCAAAATGCATCACTCTGATTGGCTGTTCAGCTCAAGTGAAATGCACACAGGAGGAGAAACAAAAGCAGGGACTAAAAAGACTGAAGTCAAAAGGGCAAACAGAGTCTATTTCCATTGTCCATCTTCATCTCATCATTCGAATAAACTGATATTTTCACAATACCATTGACGTCTAGAATGAAAGTAAATGGTGGCTGCTTTGGTTCAAGGTTTGTATCAAAACATCGACTTGTATTTCTGCAGAACGGATTCCAGTTTCTATTGATGTTAGTTTGGTGTGTCAGGACCTTTGCATGTCCCTGTAAGCTGTGACATTTAGCCAGCATGCACTAAAGCAGGACCCTGAAACTGAAGCAGCTAAAAGGAATACAGCCAGCATTTATTGTAGTAGCACCTGTGCTTTAATTTTTTTATTGAGGGCTTTTATTATCTTTTGACAGAAAAGGTCCAATAGGAATGGGAAAATGGGAAAGGTATGTCAGGGTTTCCCACACATAGACTATACTTGGGCGGGCCGCCCAGGTATATTAACGGCCCCCCAACTATATTTCACGACCCATTTCGTTTTGTTTTTTTTGTGTTTATTAATTTTATTTTATTTTATTTGTCCGCGATCACGATGCCATCTGCGATCGATTAACTTGTGGACAATGATCCCTCGCTCTACGGCTCCTGTACCGAGTCTGGCCATCGGGAGGACCGGGGGGTTTCCCGATGGCCTGGCCTGTTAAGTGGCCTGCTGGCCTGAGGATTTTTTTTTTTTATGTATTGTGAACGCAACGCTGCGCAAATGTGGGCCTGCCTCACACAGGGTGACTGGCTGTCTACATGATGTGGCCTGCCAACATGGCCACTGTCATACAGATCATAAATCAAAGCCCTTGATTGGTCTCTGTGTGTCATTCAAGCTCGGGATAACCTCAGCTCAGGTGAGGTAAAGGACTCTCTGAGTGTTTAGATAGTAAACTAACCCCTCGATTCCACCTGGTCCGTCTGCGTCGCGACACAGCTGCGCCACGGTTTTGGTCCGGCGTCATACCCTACCGGGCGCGTTTCAGAAGCATTTCAGAAGCATTTCAAAAGCGGAGCGTCTTGCCTACAGGCTCGCAGTTTTTGTTGCTTTGTGCATATTTCCTGGACAGGCTACTTTGTACAGACAAAGTTTATAATACCTGTAATATTCCAGTTACAACCGACATGAATCAAAGATGTGTTGCTGTATTTTGGTGGTAAAAAATGCATTCATCATCATTATTATTCTATATATATAATTTACACAGTGCCTGTCAACCGGAGGAGAACGCTGGCATTTCTCCTCCTACTTGAAAGACTATTGAGGGATAGGGTCTGCAAAATTAGTAACGCGGCCGCAAACGGACCCGGTGGAATCTAGTGGTTAGCAGCTATATTATTAGATAATGGGATTTTAAGTTGATATGTTAATTGGTTAAACCCACTAAAATATATGTTGAGTCAGTTTTGTGGAAAATGTCATGATTCANGTGATTAGTAAAAATATGCATGAATTAAAAAAACTAAGTGAAAAAAGGTAAGATACACTTTTAAAACTTGTTGAGAGCTAAAACTAGTCTTTGCTGCTGCCTCAAAGAGGAGAAGAGAGGAGGGAGACAAGAGAGGAGGGAGACAGGAGAGGAGGGAGACAGGAGAGGCTGATTCAGGAGCACACACACACTCAAAACTATAAATGAACCAAAAATAAATAAATAAACAAGTTTCAGTGTTTTTTGATATTGGAAATGGTATGTTATTGGTTATGGCCATGATTTTATGATTATTGAAATTTATAAAACGGACAAGTCAAATCAAGCAATCTGATTGGTTCTTAGCCGTGATATACTGAGCGTATACCATGGGTAGAATTGTAAGTTACTTTTCACAACAAGTCAGTATCCCTCCGCGTCTACGAAAAACAGTATACCGATGGGCTGAAAAGCAAACTGCCTGCAGTTTGCTTTTCATACTGGAACAAGAAAGCAGCGGAGAAGTAACGGGGCAGAAACCCTCCTTTTTACGCAGTGGTCCAGACATAGACATCAAACGGCAAAACATATTCAGTGTGCAGTTCCTTTGGCATTAGGGCAGGGATATCTAGATACTTTCCAAAGTTTGACATAATGAATTGTGCTACTTTTAAAGCAAGCAACGATGTTTTCAAATCTGTAATCAAAGAGGTCCGCAAAAACACTATCGACCAATCAGATTGCTTGATTTGACTTCTCCGTTTTATAATTAAGCAATAGCTCAAATTATAAATAATCTTATATTACTTCTAATCACCTTCATTAAACCTCTACCTTAAAATTATTATTTTAAAATAATAAAAAAAAAAAAAACCAATTTCAAACAATACAAAAACTTACCAATTTTAATATTACAAAAACAAAAAACTTCAACAACTTTTTTTATTTATATAAAAATAATTAAAAATTATTTCATCCTTAACTTTTCTTCTTAATAAATATATAAACTATAATAACTTTACAAAACTAATATAAAACATTATAAAAAACTTTAATATTTTTTTTTTCTAAATAATCTCTCCTATAAATCCATCATCCCAACTATATTCTAAAATAATTTTAATTTCAATTTTTTTTTAATCTAAACCATTTTACAAAAAAACCAATTTATTCACCTCAAATTAAACTAATAATTTTAAATATCAAATTTTTATATTAAAAAATTAAACACACTTTCACTAAATAACCTATTTTTCCTTTATATTTTTTAACTTTTACTTTATTATTAACCAAAAATAATTATTTTCAAAACTTTTTTTTTTTAACATACAATCAAAACTCACCCTTCCCCCCAATTTTCACTTCCCTACCCTCAAAAAATTTTAAAACATTTATCAATTTTTCTCCAAAAATTACCCTTATTTCATTAATTACTCTTTTCCCTTCTCTTCAACCCTTACTTCCTCTTTTTTTAAAACCAAAACCTCATTTAATTTCAAAAATTCCTTACCTTCTTCTTATAAAAAAACTCATATATAAACCAAAAAATTCAAATATTTCATCTTAACCTTTCCTTAACCCTATTTTTTAATTTTCCTAAATAAACCATTTTTAATTTTTACTCTTACAAACCTAATTAACAAAACACTAAATCCTTTCATTCTTTACACCCAATCCCAAAAATCAACTTTATTTACTACATTACCAAAATTTATAAAAAAATTTTACAATAACACCCCCTAAACCTTAACATTTAACACCAAAAAAACTTCATTATACTTCTATTCTTAACAAACCAAAAACCTCTCTAATTAAATTTCCTTCAACCTTTTTACCAAAATTTTAAATTAATCAACCCTTTATAACTTCTTTCAACCATAATAAAATATATTATAATAATCAATAAAATTCTCTAATTATCCTACAGAAAAATACCCTTTTAACTACTTCTAATTTTTTTATTTAAATTCCTATAAAATTATAAACATTCCCTCTACCCTTTTACTTTAAATAACTTCCACCCCCATCAATTCTAATTACTTACTTTTCTTACCTCTTTCTGTCCTTTTCTGTGCTACTGCGTAGCTTCTTAGTCACAGACTTAATTGTTGGTCGGTTCACTTAAAGCAAAGAACCAAATTCTGGGGGAAACACGAAGTGCTAACCAACGACTATTCCTTTACTGTTATTAAACCTAGGCTACTCTAACACGTCCTCTGTTGTCGAAAGATTTCTATAGAGTGACCAATTTGTACCGACGTGTCGCCAGCGCCATGAATATACAATGCAATCTTCGATGAAAACCACCTTAAATCCTCTTTAGATGACTGCGTTATCTGTTTGATATCAGCTTTATTTGTGATTTTACACATAAAACATGCAAAAGGAAGTTTCGGACTTCTTTTGTACAATATCTTAGTTTTATCGGTGTTTTAGAGTTACTGGTCACGATACTTTTTGCTACAAAAACGGACGCACAGAGCGGGAATTTACTAGAA